AGCTACACTCTTAACAAATCCTCGACCAGAGGTCTGGGAGCGACTCTTAAAATTTTCAGCATTAATATTTAGTATTCTTATTACTGCAGCACATAGTGCAGTGCAGACCTTATATCCCAGAGATCTGGAACCTTATCACACATCGGCACTGTCTGGACAGGACTGGGTATTGAGCTCCTCACCGGTCACCCTGAATGCATCAGGTGTGAGCTCGGCATGCATGCCAGTGCCTTTTCTGAGCTTATCGACGAGCTTCAGAGCATGGGTCATTCAGACTCATCAGCAAATCATTGAGTTCCTTATTTGCTCCTTAGTTGTCCTTATATGCCTTAATTCACATAATAAGGAATATTAAGGCTGTTTTTTCGAGGGAACCAGGGAACTCAAAAGTTCTGTTTGTCTGTCCATCCATGCTGGCCTGTCCTGTCTGTCCCATCTGTTTGGGACATTCCAGCTGTCCCAGTTGTAGTAAATCGTGTTGGCAATACTAGATACTGCCCATGGCCCTCCAGGCATAACTCCTGCACAACAGGTGCCATCTATTCAGGTGCAAGTAGAATGGGCCAACCCTGGCCTGACAAAAGCATCTGTCTGGACAACAGCCGTTGCATCAGTGAGCCAAAAATTTTGAACTATCTCACTCAGGCTCATTACAATTTTCAGTTGGTTTCCATTCTTTCAGTTAGTATCAGATGTCCTGCTCCCGGTCACTTGTGTAGATTGGTCTGTGTGTGGCTCAATTTTCTGCTTTGTTGCCCTAAGTCATCAATCCACCTCCTGAACCATCTTTGTTACAAATTCACCCACATGAGTTGTCAGATGGAGGGCAAACCACCAAAACCCAATGTTATTCTGTTCTCCATATACCTATATGAGTCGTCAGACGGAGCTGCATCCTACTAATACAAGTGGACAGTCCTTCCAACATGCAATCCATATAAGCCGAGTCGCCACACAACTTTTTCTTTTCTTCTCTCATCAATTCTTTCTTGTCAGGCTGCGACCAGGATACGATTCAACACTGAACACTTCTATTGGCTATACTTATTTTCATCTACATCTAGGTCGCACACCACAAATACTTCCACCACTGACACCAGAAGGAGTGCATGACGTGCGACAGGACACAGATTCCAGTACCTCGTATGGTGGTGCAGTTATGGTCCAGAAGCAGACATCTGGCTGGCCGGCAGCAAAGTAGAATGTTCAGATGCGCTAGAAGAGTTTAGAGAGACACTTGGTTCTTCGGGGGATGAGAGAGTGTAAGCTGGTACATTTGGAGGCTCCTCGATGTGTTGTGCAAGCGGTAGTAAAGAGCTTGCACGATGCATGCGAGATGATGCTGCAAAAGGCTCAGGCAAGTCAGGATTAGATTGATTAGCCCTAGGATGCCTTAAGAGCTTGAAGATGACTGCATTAGATATACACTCTGAATCACACACATGCATGCAAAGCAGATTACAAACATGATCTTTACAATCTGAGGAAGACACATAAATGGAATGAGTGCGTGCAATCTCAGTGTATTGTTCTCTAGTAAGTGTTGCGAAATTTCGGACTGAGTGGAGCCATGAAGATCGAGTTGACAGAGATTTTTTCTCAGAGACCTGTACCCTAAAAGAGGGTACAGGAATAGCAGTGTGGTCAATCATTTGTACATCCAACAATCATGAAGCTAGCTTTTGCTGCTCATGCATGAAGAACCATTGAATCTTTAACACTCGAGACACTCTTCAGGGTTGTAACACTGGCCTTGGCAATCAAGGATGACATTATTCTTACTCAAGAAGCAATATATGATCCCTCGCTCCCTCCGCTGCATCTTCCAGACAGCATGCTTGCTTTCCTGTCTGGCATGTGCTTACTACCCTCAGATGCTGTTAGTACTTGCTGGTCCACCTTGTCAAGCAGCATTTAGTCAGACGAGTTCACACTGAAAGGCACCCACATAGTAGAGCTGTTCCAAAAATATGGATATCAGCATGGTTTAAGTTCGTCATTTTAACAGACTTATTGTTAGATTGTTGTGCTCACTCAATTTCCTCAGCTATGAGAACATTTTATCTGCACTACAAAATGTGCCCAGACTGTGAATTTAATCAACATAAGAAAGGACTACTGTTAGGCAAGGCTCAGCAGCTCTGTGCTGTCTATTTTAGCTTGGACAATAGTGCACTCCCTGCTTTTAGTATATCTTTGTAATGTGAAGGTAAGATTCTTTTTGGTTTCTAAAAAACTGGTGCTGCTGCATGATGCTGATGTGACCTTAAATTGAAACAAGGGTGCTTGACAACATATCATCACAATTACAAGGTTAAGGGAAAGGATCATGTGTACTATGACTATATTGATGGGCTCCCAGATGCCCTACAGGTGGCCTTGCACTACTTTGTGGACACTTGTGCTGGACGACTATGGAAGACTATGATGCACACGGCATGGTGAGCACCACTTGATAGTATCAAGACTTATTTTGATTGTGGCCTTCCTATGGCAGCACTTCAGCAATGAACTGTGCACATATATATAGTTCTGCCATTACACAGTCAAACCACTTTCCGTCTGGCTGGAAAGGTTCCCCCATCATGACCATGGACTGTTTCTGGGACATGTTTATCATCATGTCACTTCTCGATGACAGTCGATGGCAGCAGCATGCCCTAGTTGTCCGACAGGATGTTGAACAAGGACTCTGATTCAAGCATCAAATGACACTTCAAAATCTGTGCATACGTGCTTATGGTCAGCCTCTAGCTTGACATCACCATTGTCTCAAATGTACACGACTATTTAAGGACCCAAATGACTAATGTTTGTTATCACATCGTCATTCGTCAGTATTCCATTGCTCACTTGATGTTTCACCTGCAGATAATTTTGTTGTTCGTGTCATTGTTGTCAATGGAGTTATGATTGGCCGCCCCTGCTGTTATATATCATATTGCATCTCACTCCGCTTGGTCAATGATTGCTTTTGTCTGACTCACATGATCGACCATGGGCAAGAATGTGCTATTCTTGGCTGCTCAATGCAAGTTGCAGACAGCAGCAAGACATGCTGTGATGCAGCTCACAAGGCTGTTGAAGAACTGCATGCTTTGTGAGGCCAGTCCAGGTTTCAGCTTCAGGAGCAGCTAGAGCATTCTCAAGCTGTTCACAGCCACCCACTACTTGTCGAGAGTGATGATGAGGGGACTCATTCAGATGAGGGCGAACAAGAATTTACTGTGAATGCAAAGAGAGGTACTAGAGGGGTTGCTCATGGTGGTGTTCGAAGTTCACAAACTTTGTGAGCACAGTTTGGATGCAACCAAACATGTTGTGAGGTGTTGATTGTATTGCCATGTGGTATGATATGGAAACGGACAACAATGTATAAAGCTGAAGTAGTAGGTGCAGTTGCAGTAAGTTTTGTGTTGCATGGTGTTTTTCCGAACTCACACTGTGCCAGACATTTATAAAGCAGTCATTCCCTGATCCATTGACACGACTGACACACATATTTTACAACAATAACTGCAGCCTTGCAAAGCATGTCAAGGATGATCCCTTCTTTGAGAACATCAGCCTCTCTGTCGATGTCTTTCACTTCAACTGCAAACATTCAGAAACAGACACCTTTTGTCAAGAGAACTGCAACCTGGCTGCATTCCCTGAGCTTACTGCTGATAATGGGACATGGTACTTCAATTCCTCTGCCTGAAAACAGGCAAATGCATGGTTTGGAAAGTATAACCCTATCATATGGGGCATGAGGCCAGGGAAGTCTGATTTCTTCTTGGATGAGACGATCTCGTGCAGGAATGAAATCACACTTGAGAAGCTGAGAAAAGAGGGCTGCAAACCTTCTACCTGGCCCTCACTCACCACCTCCATGACCAGTGTCACAGAAGAAGAACCCGGTGGTGCTGCAGCTGAGGACAACGTGAACAATGCGGAAGCCAAAGACAACACACCACCACATTGTCCTTCTCCATGACTAGCACGCATGGACTTTGAATGACCGCAAGCATTGCAATTCAATTTGTCATTCAAGCCTCTTCTCCATAGCGGGGTATGGGTAGTGGTTGACAGATGAGGTCAGTTGAAGTCAGATGCCTCGAGAGATTCAATAGCACTATAGAAAGGGATTAGTTTAAGAGGCTGTAGGAGGAATGAAAGGAAACATACCGGCCCTTCTTTTTGTCAAGTTTGTCACCCATGTTCTCTGACAACTTCTTGAATTCGTGTTTGGACTTTGCATTGTCGGTGTTGACCATTAGGTTTTGCATGTATCATTCTTGAGAATGTCATTGAGAAAATTAACAGAGGTATCAAGATCCTGAGAGAATGGAGGGATAAGTTCAGTTTGTAATTGCACGGGTACATACAAAGTGACAAGTTGATATAAAAAATAGTAGTGTATAGTTACTAGTGTGTGTGAACTCTTGTGTTAGTCCTGTGCATGATACTTATGCATGAAAGATGACCAAAGGCCATGGTCTGTTCAACGAGCTCCCAGGTATTTGTCACACAAGGTCTGTGGGGCCTTGAACCAGCATGTGCGGTGGTCGTGGAAGGTTGTCTTCTTGAACAGAACACCAAAGTAACTTTTGAATGCCTTTTGGACACTGACCTTCCTTGTCTTTCTAGCAATCTCGCAGCGATGAAAGCCCTCTACAATATCAACAACATGAAAGTCAGAGTATCTCTACCTCACATTCACTTGAAGATATTACAAGGGTTGGACTTAGAGGTGGCAAGCGCAGGTGAGCTGGGAGAACTAGCTCAGCTTGCTGTGGCTTTGCTAGAGATTGTTCGTGGGCACGATTAGCAATGCAAACACTTGCTCGATCAGCACAAAGGTGCTCACAGATGTTTGGAACCACAGGATGAACCAGTGAGGCTGCTTGTAATTGCAGGAGTAGGTCAAGGCCAGCACAGTCAGTCATATCTGATGCTCTAAGGATCAAGGACTCGTCCCGATTTTGCAGTGTGATTATATGATCCTGGTGGATCCCTCACCAAGCCCGTGTGCTGGGGTCAAAAAGGTGTAGCTTGGATGGTTGATATCCATCTCTGATGTCTTCCAGGTTAGTAGCAGGTAGATCAAGCTCACGGAGCACCTCATACATGAGATAGAAGTGTAGCCATTCAAACCCTGTCTGGAAGACGAAGGATGATGGTGGATCACCATTCTGTTACAGGACCCAGACTTTAGCATTGTCATATGAGAAAAGATAACATACCTGGACAAATGCATGCACAGTGACGCTGTACTTCGCACACTGACTGCTCTTGATACGAGCAGCATCATGCTGATGTTGTTTCTCATCCAGGTAATGTTCCTGCTCCAACTGCATAGTAAAGAGGGGTGGGAGCTGTAAAGAATGCTTGGGTTGGTTTGAGGTAGGCTTAGGTGGAGATTTTGACAGAAGACACTGGTTTGGATGGACAGGCATGGCACGATTCTTGCCCTTGCCATTAGATGGACCTGCTGCTGGAGCCGAAGGAGGATCCAGAGTGGGAATAGGAGGATCATCCAGAGTGGGAGCAGCAGAACAGGCAGGATCTGAGACTAGTTGATCTTCCTCCTTGTCAGTCTATGAGGAGCACCACAGTGAGTGTTTAGCATGTTATGGCTGGACTAGTACACACCAGATTGTTTTCATAGATCAGATCATTATCTGACAGCTCGAGAACATCTTCGTCCAAGCGAGATGCATTTCCGTCCGGTTCCAGATCATCATCATCAGCAAGGGGTTGATTCAATGGTGTATGGTCTTTGAGACCACAGCCACCAAGTCCGCGACAGTGTCTTGCGCAAACACTCCACCCACACTTCACATTAATATGAATGTTGGGGCAACCATGAATGCGGCACTTGCCCTTACCCCTGTGGGGTTTCTTCCAAGGTGGCGACTGTGAGTCACCTTGGGGAAGTTCAGGTGAATGAAGTGGCATGCCATTTTGACTGTATGCGCTACAGAAGAAGTAGCATTTGCCAACGACACACTGTTACAATGTCAGTCGTAAAAACTACCATGAAAATAAAACTACTCACACAAGCCATCCATTTAGCTTGGTTTCCATTGGTATTAGTCTTGCAAACGAACCACTCCAAGGTTTTATGGCAAGTGTCGCAGGTGACGGTCCATTCTGGATGAGGGTCATCAGGCATGGATGGCAGGATATGATGTGAATGATTGAGGATTGGTACGAGCATGACAACAGAGGAAAATAATTGATGGAAACAAGTAATATCTAGTGAGAGCAGGAACAGAGGGAGATGACGATGAGCGGGGATCTGGGGAGGTATTTATGCTTCATCAAGATAAAGTTTGAGAGGTGAAGGACTTACATCTGATTGGCCCACTGCCAGAATATATACTCATGCACATTGTCGATGAATTCTATGCACCCGCGTCCTCAGGATGTATTCAGGATGCCTCTGCGATGATATCAATGGTTATCAGGATGTTTTCTGGAAATTCTGAATATTGGGAATTTGCTGACCCATTCATTCGGGATGTCCAGGATGTCTGGGACAGGCGGACCTGACCTTTTGAGATTTCCAGTTTCTATGTTTTTTCACACTTAAATTAAGGAGAATAAGGAGGTCCCTTGCCTTAAACCAAGGAAATTTCTGTAGAATAAGGAAATTAAGGCAGTCAAAGTGATGTCAAAAAGTGCACTTTATTTTCTACCATGGAGCTGGTTTGAACTTTCAACCATCCAGCTGATCCAGCTGAGATCACATAATCAATTCTCAAACTGTCAAGCAGCTTTACCAGTAGACTATATTACCCTATACATATGTAGGTAGCAATTGATATATATACCATATCCATTGGACTCAGAATACAAGTCTACCATTAGAATTTTGATAAGTGACGATGGTAGACCATGTGAACTTTTTCGAAGAAAATCAAAGTTGTAACCCTTGTCAAGAGTAATCTATCCATAATCTCATGACATTTTTTGGTTAAGATCCTAGTGAGTTATAAGCAAAATACTAGAAAGTGGTGTACTCAAGAAAGTTCAGGCACACAAGTAATCTCCTTGATTCTCCTTAGGCTGACTTGCAGCCACCATGTGCCTTAGAATAAATATAATTAAGTACAAAATTGTTACGGACTAGGATAGTTCGAGCTCTCCCTAGGCGGATTGCCTAATCTGATAACGGGCTCGCTATTGGAGAGACGGGGATCTTCTCTCGAATGAGAGGTTCGGGGGTTCCACTTAAGGTAGCGTCGGCTTTCCTTAAGGTGTGGCTTAGACTGAAGGACTGGGACTGTCTTTCAGAGGAAGTTCTGGATAAAACCTAGTAGAATCAAGTAGGGAATATACATGATTCTGTCTGCTCTATATACTGTCGTCCGTGTGCACAGACCAATACTACGTTCGGTAGGTAGGTATAAGTGTGTCTATACAAGGGCATCTTATCTGATGCCATGCGGTCGATTATCTATACATGAGGCTTACCATGCCTCTCTTATCTGTCCTCAAGGCGTAGCATGCCTTTGAGTCTAACTGCGCATGCTGAGGCATGCGGCTTGTCTTCTGACCATGAGGCAGAGCTTCCTCATGATCCGGGTCGAGGACCATCTAGGTCCGATCAGATGTAGCCTAGGCTGGTCTAGGTCATCTAACGGCATCCAGGCCGTTCTAGGCGTCTCTACGAGTCTCCGTTGAGTCGGTAAGTCTTCCAAGACGGTGCATATGGTGGGATAGGGGCTAAGGTCATGATGACCTCCGTAGGAGGGGTTCTCGGTTACATGTTATTGTAACATTACCTCCGTTTCTGGGTCGAAGTCACCGACTACGACAAAACTCTCTCCCGGGTTTCTTCGTCTGGAGTTGCAGTAGTACTGCGGGTATCAATAGGAGTGGGCGAGCGCGGCGCGGGGTTGTTCGCGATTAGTTCTTCTAGCGCAACGTGGTTCTTCTCCCAATCTACGAGGAGTTCGTAGTATTCCTCGTCGTCTCGAAACTCTGGGAGGCATGATACTTCTCCGAGTTGAGGGCAGTGGACCGACAGGTGGTCGGGTCCGATTTCGTTGCAGATGCAACACACAGCGTCTGGACACTTTCTAAAATTGTGTCCGTATCCTCCGCATCGTCGACAGATGCAGGTGCGGTCTACTCGCGCTTTCTTGGTAGGGCGCGGGGGTCTTTCTAACTTTTCTCCAACGCGTTTCTTCGCGACGTCTACGAGTTCGCTGAAGTTGTCGGGGAGTAAGTGGAGCGCCATTGCGCGGATTTTCTTCTGGTCTTCCAGCACTATGAGGGCTCTAGTTGCTGGGTCTAAGTCTTCACGGTTCACCGATAATTCTAGGTGTCGCGTGGTGCGGATGATGTCTATCACCAGTGATGCGGATGCGGCGATGTTGACATCTGACTGTCCTAGGATGTCGCTGATCTCTAGGAGAGAATGGCCGTTTCGGCGACGGCGCCTTTCTCGAGGTGGTCGAGGATTTTGGAAAATCCCGAGTTCTTTAGGGGAACGATGGTAGAGGCTTCGATGTTGTTAGGCATGATTGTAGCGAGAGTTTCTGGCGAGTATATCGTTGTAGAGGGTTTATATGGGCCTCCAAGAGTGCTCTAAGCTCCGCTTGATCAGTTAACTTATCTTTTAATCTCTTTATCAAAGTTCAATCATGAAGGCGTGGAATGCCTCATGGTTCTCTTGGCAGAGGGGGAAGTCACCATGCCAGTGCGGTTCTGTGATATTTTCGAGTCATTCCGGACTATTAGAAGCGGAAGTTTTGCGTCATTGCGGACGTGCGTGTCTTGATCTTTCGTTTGAGTCGAATTCTGTCAAGATCTGGGGTATGTCGTATCGAGATGTTCTTTTTGTTGAATTTCTCGGTCGGTGTTCTAGAGGGTTCCATGGGCTTGCAGGAGTTTCCACGGAGTTCGTCTCGTGATAGTTTAGCGTCTTTCCGGACAGAGGCGAAGGTAAGGCATCCGGGGCTTGCAGGAGTTTCTCGGTGTGTTAGTCTTGTCTTCAAGGCGAAGGGGTCCGTATCTCCGGGTTCGTCCTTCTATTCTCAGTTTAGAGTCGTGATGGACTTGGGGATAGTTTAAGGTCTTTCCGGACCGAGGATAGTTTCAAGTCATTTCGGACTTCTGCGCAGTTTATAGTCGTGCCGGACTCCGGTATAGTTTATAGTCATGCCGGACTCGTGGCGATTGTCGATATTTATAGATAAGGGTGCAGCCGGGGTGAGGGGAATTAAGAGTAAAATGAGTTTTTAAATGAGAATTTCACCCCCCAAGTAGGCCGTTTGATCACCGATCAAATCTAGAAGTCTAAATCAAGGTTTCCGCAGTCAGGGTCAGACTGATCCGTGACTGGTGCGATCTCTCCCTGGAATAATCTAACATCCACGGGATCGTCCTGGCGGGGACAGTGTCTTGCGATACGTTTTATCGTTCGCTGGAAGTAGTTCTGCGGTTTAATCCGATCTACTTCCATCGGAGTCGTCGCGGGTTCTTCTGCTATGGCAGGGGCCGCGGGGGCAGTTTTAACGACTATCTCGTCGTTATCTTCATCGTCAGTTTCTTCCATCATTTCCTTATTGGCTAGTGTGGGCACGAGGAATGGGCGAGTGACTGGTGCGGTTCTCAATCGTTCTGGGAAAGAAACGATTGGCTCGGCCCGGTTGATCCATTGATCAGCGGCCGGTTCTTCTTCTGCTAGTTTATACTCTTGGCGGAGTTTCTTCGGTGACGGCGCTTCTGCCGTGACTACCGATCTACCTTTTCCAAGAACCGAAGCAGGTTCTGCTGAAAAGACGTACTTCTGAGTTTTCTCCGGTTCAAGGGCCGGTCTAGGGATATTTGCACGAGGGGGTTCCTCGTCGAAAGTGGCTCTGCCTTTTCCTAAGATCTGGGCAGGTACTGCAGAAAATCTATATTTATCTGCGGGTGGTGAGGTGGCAACTAAGTCCGACTGTCTCGTGGACTTCTTCTCGACGTTCTGGGATGTCAAGGCGTGGGGTTCCAACGGCTTGGTAGCCGGTGCGTATTCGAGGATTTCGTGGAGTTCCTCGATCGGGGTTAATGTGGGAATGAATCTCCGTTTTCCCGAAGTTAGTTTCGACTCGTTTCGGAGATCTTCCATCGGCGAATCAGCCGGTTCTGGTAGTTTAGCCTCATTTCGGAGGTTCTGCGTGACAGGTGCTTCTGTCAGATCTAGTTTATACTCATCTCGGAGTTCTTCTTTCTTCTTTGTCAGGGTGCCTACCTCCCTTCTTTGGCGCGTGTTTCGCGTCCTCTTTTCTTTACGGAAGAGCGGCTTCAACCCGTTCCTCTTCCTACCTCTCTCAATCATTCTCTCAAGTCCTTTCGACTTGTCAGTGGCAGGGATAGTTACCGTACCCTTCTTCCAATCTATGGAAGGCTTCACAGCGGCCAGCCATGTGAATCCGAGTAAGATGTCGTCTAGGCGCGGCATTACGAGGAATCGTCCGTGCATTACTCGGTCGTCGATCTTTATGATGATTCGGCAAAATCTCTTGACTTTGCCTCCTTCGACTATCGTTCCGTCTCCGTTCATTACCTTTTTTGGTGTCTGAAGGAGGTGCGTTCTAATGCGGTATTTCTTGCAGAGTTCTCTGCTTATGAATGAGTCGCATGCGCCCGAGTCTATGACCATGGTGGTCGTAATGGGCGGCTTAGTGATGGACATGAGGGTGGCGGCAACCCGTAGTTCCTTCTTCTTGGATACGCTGTTTTTGTTAATTTTCAGCGGTCCAGTCTTATCCTTACCAGCCGCTGTCTTGCGGACTGTTTCTTCTTCGATAATCTTTCTCCTCATCGGGCACTTGTGGTCGTTAGCTTTGTGTCCAACGTGATGGCAAGAAAAGCATCGTCGTTGCTTCAGGTGGTGTCTTGTCTCCATTCCTGAGAGGTTGGCGGCGGCGTCGGTATTTCTTCTGATCATCATGATCTGTGTCGGTGCGTTCATGGTAGAGGGAGTAGTGTGAAGGGACAGTGATAGGCTTAAGGATTCAAAGCTTCGTACGTCTGTCTTGACAATTTGTGGATAGCTTTACGCCGGTCTCGGCGGTTTGGTCACGAGAGTAGAGGTCTACGCTTGTCTCAGCGGTGCGGTCAGTTCAGTTTCAACGGCGGTGCGTGATGAGCAGGGCCGGGAAAGTAAGACTTGATTCTTTTGTTACGGACTAGGATAGTTCGAGCTCTCCCTAGGCGGATTGCCTAATCTGATAACGGGCTCGCTATTGGAGAGACGGGGATCTTCTCTCGAATGAGAGGTTCGGGGGTTCCACTTAAGGTAGCGTCGGCTTTCCTTAAGGTGCGGCTTAGACTGAAGGACTGGGACTGTCTTTCAGAGGAAGTTCTGGATAAAACCTAGTAGAATCAAGTAGGGAATATACATGATTCTGTCTGCTCTATATACTGTCGTCTGTGTGCACAGACCAATACTACGTTCGGTAGGTAGGTATAAGTGTGTCTATACAAGGGCATCTTATCTGATGCCATGCGGTCGATTATCTATACATGAGGCTTACCATGCCTCTCTTATCTGTCCTCAAGGCGTAGCATGCCTTTGAGTCTAACTGCGCATGCTGAGGCATGCGGCTTGTCTTCTGACCATGAGGCAGAGCTTCCTCATGATCCGGGTCGAGGACCATCTAGGTCCGATCAGATGTAGCCTAGGCTGGTCTAGGTCATCTAACGGCATCCAGGCCGTTCTAGGCGTCTCTACGAGTCTCCGTTGAGTCGGTAAGTCTTCCAAGACGGTGCATATGGTGGGATAGGGGCTAAGGTCATGATGACCTCCGTAGGAGGGGTTCTCGGTTACATGTTATTGTAACAAAAATCACACCTTAATAGTCCTTATTCTCCTTAGCCACCTTAGTAAATTTGTTAAGAAAATTAAGGGACAAAAAGGAACTCGATGTTTTGCTGATGCTCTAAGTATGTCTCACTCAAGGAACAGCTGGCAATATTTCTGTATGCCTCTGTCACTGGCCTGTCAATCAGGCATCTTGCAGAGAGTTTCCAATGCTCAAATGAAACAATTTCACAGTGATTGTTTTTTTTGGGAGGAGGTAATATCTAATAGTACATAGTTATTTCTGCAAGATGCTTGTCATCTTCACAACCAACCCATTCTATTCAAAATACATATGTTTTCCGGACAATTCAATTCCCCCCAAAATCCGCAAGAATCTGAAATGGAGGCCATTTTTCAAGGACACTATTGAAGCACTTGATGGGAGTCATATCCATGTCATGCCCAAGGCCATTGAACGTCCCATTTATTGTAATTGGAAGTGGTTTGTCTCGCAAAACTGCCTCTTTGCATGCAATTTTGATCTTAGCTTCATGTACGTGCTCACAGGATGGGAAGGCTCAGCACCAGATGCACACATCTATGAGGATGCCTGTGCTCATGACTTTCATACTCCCCCAGGGAAATATTGGTCGCGCATAAGGTAAGCTCTCAATTATTTTGTAAACATTGTTCTAAGTTTTACAGGCCAGAAACCAAGGAAGAACTATTTAATTTGCGACATGCATCAGCATGGAACGTCATTGAGTGCATCTTTGGTGTCCTCAAACAATGCTTCCACATACTTCTTCTTTTGCCTGCCTACGCTATGGAGGTCCAGGCCCAAATACCAGCCACATTTGCGCAATCCACAACTACATTCATGTGCACAACCCTAGTGAGGGTACTCCCCCTGTTGATGATGAAGATGGAGACAGAATTTTGGAGGAGGACCCTGACCTTGATGTAGCTGCTGATGAGGAGGCTGTTGCTATCAAAGAAGGCAATGAGGGTGACTTTCATCGAGGCACCAAAATGCATGATCACATCACTGAGGTGATGTGGGCTCAATATCAATGTGTCATATTGGAACATGGCTTAGAAGGACTTGATCCTGTAGAGGATGAGGAGGACAAGCTCGAGGGTAGTGCTGCTGATGATGAGGAGTTGGGGCCTGTGTGACAAGGCCATATTCTGAACTTAGTTTACAAGTAAATGAAACATTGAATCAACAATTTTGATAGTACAAGTATACAACAATTGCTGGATACTACACAAAGTAAGTAACCAGCAATATAAAATGTTGTGGTCTGCACAGCCTAGTCTGCTATACTTGTAGACAAGTGCATTCGACCCAAGGGGTTTGCTGTAAGGTATTAGAATAATCAGTTATACTATAAGGAAGATAGTCCGAAGTGTGGGAAACAAAGTCCAAAGGTATAATTATGAGTCCAAAGGTAAAAACATTGGGTCCAATGTTTTTGGACTTTCGGGTTAGCGGATTTCATCGGGTTACATCGGATTTGTGTCAGATTTGTGTCAGGAATGTAACGAATGTCGGGGATAGTGAATGGCAGGTTACTGTCAGTATTTTTGGAGTGTTTTCGGATAATGAAAGGATGATATTGTGGAATTCAACAAAGAACTACAAATATCAGATGACCTCCTCCTACTCGGAGGTAGAAAGGTAAATAAGTAAGTAGGAGGTATGTGAAATATATAGTGTCTATGTAGAATTTTGGAGCACTATAGGCGAAAGTAGTAGCGGTAATTTTCAGATCTGATGTCCTATGTAATCAGACATGTGGTACTGCAGACATATAATAACACGGTCTACAGTGTTAGTGATATAAAAACAGATAACTACGCACCTAGTGGGGATAGATATGACAGGACAGGACGTAGGGAGGATAAGTGCACAGGAAAATATTGGGTCTGATGCACGGGAAACGTCGGGTCTGTCGGACTACATCGGGTTAGCGTCGGGTTAGTGGATAAACATCGGATTGAGCAGGTGAGTGTTGGATAACATTGGGAAGTGATTTGAGTGTCTGACATGCATTGGGAATTAGCTGAATATGTGTTCAGTGTGAGGCTGAGTGCTACAATGGTTACATTGTCAGAGGTGATATTCTGTATCTGAAGAGAGTGTCAGCCATGGTGCAGACATCAAGCATAAACTATAGATTACCTTGTTGCAAATGTTAAAATTTTTCATCACACGATACAGTTGTTCTCCCAAATTTTCACTGCTATGACTTCCTTCCACCTCGGAGAATGCCATCAGTTCAGAGTGGAGTTTCCATTCTTGCGAGATCCAGTGTGCTGTGATTGCGAGGTACAATGTCATGATTTTTGAAGTCCACCTATCAAATGTGAGGGAGACATGACCCAGGGCATCCTACCAATAATAGTAGGAGATAACTCCATTTTTTTGGATTGTAGTGTGGTACATACTTGTAATTCTTTTGTGAGATCAGCTCAAATTGCCTCTGTGCATTCTATGATATCTTCAGTGACTTTCGTGCAATGGGGGATGTCTGAAATCTCTGTCTTGCTGCATCTATTATAGTGAAGAAGCTCCTGAAATGCATCATGGTCAACAATAGATAAAGCCTGTATGTAATATGTTGAGTAACACTACATGTTCGAGTTCTAAATGTACCTGGTCTGTTTCAATGATGAAGCGAATAATACATTCATGAAGCTGTTCTTGGCTCCACTCCTCTGGCCTCTGGACAGTTTCAGTGAAACTGAAAATTGATTGTTGTCTGTAGAATGTGTGTAAGGTCAGCGATACATTTGTGAATGAAGAGACTTGGCAGGTTGACACACTGCTTATTGCCATCAGATTTACCCTCCAAGCAATCCAATTCTTCTTGCGGAATACAATGTTTATGTATATCAATTTTTGCCATAATACATCTCTCAGTATACTTTGTAATGATCCATATCCATCCGACAAACATGTGTGCACATCATGCTATTATTACCCTTGAACACTGTCTGCAACTTCCCATATTTACTTGGATTGCACTTTTTCTTATCACCAAAATCACCGGGGTAAGCTGAAATATACAAATATAATTTCCTATCACTCACTTGCAAACCTGGCACACATAGCCTTCTACCAGATTATGGGAGTCGACAGGTTTGAACATGGTCAAAATATCAGCAGCACCATCCCCTTTTTTATGTCTCTTGTTCTGAGTAGGTTCATCCTCCTCATCATCTGACTCTTCACCTGCAGTACTAGTGTTAGATGCCAAGCCTTGAAATTGCAAGGCTTTAACTCGTTCTATCGGTGCTGGCTTCGAAGGTTTGGTTACCTTTGGAATGGGTGCATCTTTCCTATTCTGGCAAGTGCTCGAGCCTTTGGACTTGGAAATTGTGGATTTAGCATTATCTGCCTTGTGTTTCTGTGTGTTCCCAAAGGTTGCTGGAGTCAGTTGGGTACTAAATGTGAAGGTAGTAGATTCATTAGGTAATGTCGGTGATAGTGATGGAGAATCAACTGGGGGTAAGGAAGCAGTATTTTGTGTAAGTGAATGTACCCATTGTATATTGCAGGCTTCTTTGAGTGATGCGTCAACATTGAGTGCACACTGGTCCATTGTGGGGGGGGTCGAGACAAAAAGCCTCCAGGTATATTTGTTACTTAGTAGAAAAGTGTACAGTACCAAATATCTAGATGATCAAGATTCAATGTTGCCACTCATAACATCTGATCATATCTGTTTATGGATCCTACTGATTGGTTTGGTTACAGTTCAAACAGGTTCGCTATGGTCCACAAATTCAGTCAGTCCCCAAACCTTAAACCTCTCCCCTGCTGGATGCTCTCGAACCTGACCATTGTTGAACCAAACCATGGTCCGGTTCAAGGTTCAGAACCGGTTTGGAGGGTTCAGAACCGGACTGTGGCAACTTTAGTGCTGACATAATTGTTGGACTGCATGGGCTATGTCCGGACATGTGCCAATAGTGATGTACATCAATGAGCTGATGAGCGAACAGTAAGGAGTCCATGCCATAAGTTCATGTTGTGAGTCTGTAGAGGGGGAATGAGTGCAATAGAATAGATGGAGGCCTGTTTCCATTGGGGTTGAGACTGGGCATGCATCCTTCAAGCTGAATTGGTTGACAATGTGGTCAATCAGCCCAGTCTGCGACAGACTAATTGTCCAATTTGCATGATTGCATTCTAATGCAATGCCTAGGCATAAATGTGCTTCTCCAAGGTCGGATACAGACTATTTTGTCCGTAGTTGGTCCTTGAAGTGTGAGACAGCAGCTTTGGTACTCCCAACAGTGAGAAAATCATCTGCATGAATGGTGACAAGGAGGACTTCTGCATTTGTATAACAAAAGTATATGCAATGCTTGCATTTGAGGTGTTTGAATCCCCAGGCCAGCAGTGCCTCATTCATGGTCCTATTCTAGACAAGTCTCCCTTGCTTCATCCTGTATAATCCCTTCTGGAGCTCCCAAACCCAGTCTTTTTTGCTGGCTTCAACAAAGCCCTCAGGTTGGTACATGTGGCACACTTTGTCAGATTCAAGTAGCCCATGGAGGAACACCATTTTGATGTTGACCTGATCAATTTCCCAGTCTAGTGCAGCGCTGAGGTGAGTCAGAACACGGAAGGATTTGAGGTATGCTGTCAGTGCCAAGGTCTTCATATAGTCCTGGCCCCATACAGCAGAGTACCCATGACATACATATTGTGCCTTTAAATGCACTGGCTTACCATGTTGGTCACATTTAATCTTAAATCTTAAAAATGAGGTGTCCCCGCATGATATTTCTACCCAGAGGGATGGCTGACCATGGGACCAGTTTGTAGACACCAAGTTCTCATAAAGTGTTGAACTCCTCTGTTTGGGTCCAGTCTGATGCATTTTCAGAGGCCATGGCTTCACTGTAAGTGGTAGGATAATTGGGTAGATCATGCTCCAGGTTATCGTGCATGGCCGCAAAAACATCTGCCAGCATGCTAAGCTCCTCCTCAGAGAGAACAGCTGCTAGAGCATCCTCAGGAAGATATGCATTCATGGCCAGGGGTTGGGTATGATCCACCATAGCAAGAGCCTCTAGGACAGTACATTGTAGCACTTGGACTGGTGTTGGTCGCATATCCTGTCAAACTCATAGGTATCTCACGTTATACTCCTCGACACTCCTTTTACCTTCTGAGAGTTCTGTGTACTCATCTGAGTCGTCCGAAGGTTGTCCATCCCCTTCCGAGGCCTGTATACACTTCTGATCCTCTGTACCATGTCCTATCCACATCTGTTTGACTTTGCTGGTGCATTCTCATTTCAATTATCTGTTATTGATTATGTCTTAGGGGCACATACATCGAAAAGCCTGATTAATATGTATAGCTGCGCACCTCGTGCACCATTACATGCATATCTCTGTAGCAGCTCGCCTTGAGTCTTATTACATTTCGGATAGCTTATCTTGCTACTAGTTTCGCTGACGCAATTATGGACTTTCACACTGTAGGATATTATCTGACTCGCTAACTACTCGCACTTCACTTCACTTTCCTTGCTACGAGTCATAGTTTGTAGAGTCACTTCGGATAGTCATACTTCATGCAATCAATCTTGTGTTCATTCAGAACAATTGTTTGGCCTAACCGCTGCCAATTCACATCTCGCTGTCTCTTAGTTCTTTCAATAGACTTTGTTTAGTCATACTTTGGTACTTCTGCTAGTCTTACACTTCAACACACTTCAACAAACCCGCTGTATTCCCTCACTGGAACCTTCGCGCAACCTTGGACCTTTGTTTCTTGACTTTGGACCAACTTCAGACGCATCTTCAGAACTCGGAACACACTTTTGGTAAACTTTCCTGTTCTCCACTTCGATCTTAACAAGATATCCCTTGCATTTTATATCAAGAGATACTTCTATAGGCAGTCTCTTTGGGATGAGCATTACACTCACACTTTGAGTTCTAAGGTAATACTATTTGTAGCACCTACACAGAATCAACTCTTTACAGCATTGAGTGGGTGATACATAGGGCTTACCCTCCATGGTGCAATAACATGCAGAAGGGATAGGCATACACAAGAAACATCGTGGAGCCTCTGGAGTGTACAAGGATAGCAAAGGGAGGGGTAGTGAGGGTATGTTAATGTCTGTGATGTCCTCGATAGTGACCACATGAGAAGGTTCAGGAGGTGCTGATGAGAGAATGGGTGGATCTGTAGTGATAGCCGGCAATGGTGTGCCAAGGTGATGTGATTCTATAAATGAGACATGGTATGAGATGAATACCTTGTGGGAGGCCCGATGGTAACAACAGTAAGCCTTCGAGTCCAGAGAGTAGCTGATAAGTACACACTCGACAGACTGACTGTATACCTTAGGATTATGTTGATTCTGTATCAACACAAATGCTCTGCAGCTGATCTCATACAAGTGAGACAGATTCAGCTTGTGACCATGCCAGCATTCAAAGAAAGTATGATTCTCCTGAGAGATCACAGGGGTACAGTTAGAGAGGTAGCATGCGGTGAGAATGAATTCATCCCATCTGTTGATGGGGACATCACAGCTTGATTGCATGGCACAAGCCTTACCCATTAGCATATGGTGCAGGTATTTGACACACACATTCTGTGTGGAAGTGTAAGGGGTGGTGAATTGCTGCTGAGAGCCTCATGAGAGAAGCCATTCCCACATCGAGTTGCTCTTTAATTTGCCATTGTCGGAACGATATATACCCACCCTTAAGCCAGACTCTACTTCATGAGTGAGCGCCCATGCTTGTAGTACAGTCGACTCCCTCCTAACGCATACCTCTCGGGATAGCCCCAAAAGTATGGCTTATTAGAGAGTATGGGGTATCCAAGAGAGCCATATTCCACCGCTCCGAAGACACAAAATTTGTACTTGCTGACATTAGTATTGCTCTAGGGTACTATGAAGCTATTTACGAGAAAAATAATCAGTCAATGTTGTGTCCTTCATGCCCTGCATTTCGACTGCAACAGTCTGCTGTCCAAATGACCCTAACATCACCTCGAGCTTGCGTGCAAATGGTTCATTGAAGATCCCAAGGTATTTCCTCAATGTTAAGGTAGCCTGTAGCGCTTCACAACGTGTCGGGCCTGGCGCAGGCACATCAATATCTGAGTCATTGTCGCCATCGTCATTGCCTCCAGCAGCCTTCTCCCGCAACTTCTTTGCATCCATCACAGACTCAAAGATATCCTCATCCATCACATTGAAAATGTTGGTGGTCTCAATTGCTGGGTTCAGAAGTCCTGCAATATCCATCCAATTCGACGATTGGAGAGCGCCGGTTGCCTCGAGATCATCCAAGGCATTTTTAACAAGTGTCTCGGCATGTGCAGTGGGGTTGTTCGTGGCATCCGTTAGATGGACAAGGGACGAGATTGGAATGATGGGTCGAGTGGGTGATGATGTTGCCAAGTCAGGTAAAATGCCAGTGTTTCACCAACAGTTTCAGATTGTTGTAGTGTCCACTTCGTTCCATGCATCTTGAGCAAGTCTCATTGCCTCGAGTTGGTCAATGTCGTAGATTTTGGAGGGAGTAATGTTGGCTTCATAGTGGTCAACTGCATGACGGATGAACTTGGCGCAGTAATGTGCTTTAAAGCAGTGAATGATGCCCTGGTCATTAGGCTGTACATGCGCAGTGAGGTTTGGCTCGAAATTTTCAACTCGAATGTTGGTGAGGGTATCAGGAACGATGTGCCCTGAAAAATTGTCCTGAAAAAGAAGAATCTTCCTCCTCTCGCATCGCATCTTCTGATCCAAATCAAACAACCATTCTTGATAGAGCGAGGCTGTCATCCATGCCTTGGCATTGTTCCGATAGTAAAAGCCAAGCTGTGAGCCCGTCTTGTTCTTGAATGCGCGAGGTTTTTGTGCTTTTCCAATGATTAGTGGAGGTAGTTTCTGTGAGCCATCTGCGTTCGTCATGAACAAATAGGTCAACCGGACTTTGTTTCCTTTGATGCCAGACTGCTGCTTGTCTGAAAGACCACAGTCAGGAGGCATGCTGATTAACTTTGTTAAGGACTTTGTTACTGTTCAAAGAGGAGATAACTTATGCATAGAATAATGAAGATTTATCTGTGTTGAAGATGTCGTGTGGCTGATATCCATGCTTTTTGATAAGCTCTTGCACATGCTGTCATTCCTTATCAACAGTCTCAGAGGCCACTGAAGCAGCTTCACCATGACATTTTATTTCCTTTAACCCAGTTCTTGTCTTGTACCGAGTCAACCACCCCTCACTAAGGTTCAGTTGCTCGTCCTCTGGCACACCAATCAGGTCTGCAAATTTTGTCCATTTTTGGTGGAGAACCATGCCAGTGAGAAGAATTCCATCAGCCATTGCCTTTGAGACCCAGAGATCTAACATTTCGGTGACCTCAGAGTGCTGAGTCTGACAGATCCGTTTTGCCGAACGAGCTGGACCTGTGCTGATATCATATTCCTCGCACCATTTTTCTTCATTCTTATACCAGGCAGATATTCTTGGCTGTTTAAGTTGAAGGTTTGGATAGATTGCATCAAAATGCTTTGCCATTTTGCTTTGATTTTCTCCATTAGCATGGTGC